TCTGAATGCAAATGTTAGCTGCGGAAGAATTAGTTCTTCGAACAACTTGGCCAACGACGACTGAATGCATATTGGTCTGAAGTTTGTAACTTTAGATTGATCATCTGATTTTTATTTTCCAGGCAGATGTAAAACAGCCTGTTTATGTGGATTTGTCTAGAATGTGTATAATAGGTTCGCAGAGACTAATATCGCAATTTTTTTTTTAAATATGTTTGGAAGGTCATCGGGTCCAGCGCCCTTGTTGATGTTTAGCGTCGAAATTTTAATTGCAAATAATCTAAAGTTTAATTGCAACTAATTTAATTGGAGGGTGTTATTAGTTTAAAAGTTTAATCGCAATTAATTTAATTGCAATTACTTTTTCAATCAATTAACAAGATAATTAAAAATTAATTGATTAACGCCCAACACTGGTATGTAGTATATGTATGTTGGAATAAAAGTAAATAGCTTTTCAGCTTCTTTAATTTCAGCATTGGATACTTAATTGAATCTTTTTATTATAGGAGTTTGCGACGTTATCTTTTGTAAAATGTTCATATTTTTTTAGTTGCTGCTAATACATGCTTTTTTGTTCTTTATTGTTTACAAGAGTTAAAAATTAAAAGATAATACTGGGTCTGGTACGATACGTCGAAATTTAAATTGTCGAAACTAAAAACACCGAAAAAAAAATGTCGAAAAAAAATTGTTAGAAAATCAAGAATGTCGAGAAAAAAATTGTCGAAAGGAAAAATGTCGAAAACAAAAAATGTCGAAAATAAAAATNTTAAAAACAGGTATAAAACTAGTTTCTTAGTTAATGTATATAATCATGAAGACAAAAAAATTTCCATTAATTGGATATAAATCCTATGGATTTATTTATGCAAAGAAATCGCCCAATTTTTTTTTTTTAGTTAATCGCACTTTAGGTCTATGTGTGCTATAGGGATGGGTAGTGGGGGGTTGAAATTCGATTTTTTCCGAATTTCGAACATTTCCCAAATATTCGATTATTCGATTCAAAATTTGGTGGTGAAAATTCGATTTAATTCGAATTTTTTCGAATTTTCCAAAAATGTTTTTAATTGAAACTTCCTTATCGAGTGCGGAGATGTTTGCGTTAAATATTTAACACCAAGTTATAAAATCTGTACCGTTCGTTCAATTAAAAAAAAGTTAAATAATCGCTTCCGCAGATGTATACGTTAAATATTTAACGGGATCCGTACGATAAGTCGAAAATAAAAATGTCGAAAGAGAAATGTCGAAATTTAAAAATTTTTTAAATNTGTATCTTTCGTTCGATTTTCAAAAAGGAGGTAGGTGTTAAATGAAAGTTCTTGCCCTGTAGATGTGTGTATGTAATCAAAATCAAATTATTTAATAAGTTAAATAAATTACCCCAATATAGGTATCAATCGATGGTTTTGAATAAGCTTTATTTTTTAATTACNATATTCGATTATTCGATTCAAAATTTGGTGGTGAAAATTCGATTTAATTCGAATTTTTTCGAATTTTCCAAAAATGTTTTTAATTGAAACTTCCTTATCGAGTGCGGAGATGTTTGCGTTAAATATTTAACACCAAGTTATAAAATCTGTACCGTTCGTTCAATTAAAAAAAAGTTAAATAATCGCTTCCGCAGATGTATACGTTAAATATTTAACGGGATCCGTACGATAAGTCGAAAATAAAAATGTCGAAAGAGAAATGTCGAAATTTAAAAATTTTTTAAATCTCGAAATAATGTTTAACCGAAACGCAAAATGTCGAAATCGTATGCTTTCGNATTCGAATATCGAAGCTTGGAATATCGAATTTACCCATCCCTAGTGTGCTATATCTTCATTTGAAATGCAAGGAGCCGATGCTANGGAATATCGAATTTAACCATCCCTAGTGTGCTATATCTTCATTTGAAATGCAAGGAGCCGATGCTAAGATCGTTATGCATTAATAAATGATGTAAAGTGTTGCAATTCGATGAAACGCGAGGTGACGATATGTAATATTTCCACGTCTTAATTTTAATAATCCAATGTCCTGGATCGTAGGCACTTCATATTTTATTGTTGTCAATTTACAACTGCAACGAATATGCAAATCCAAGAGCATATGCACAAGATCCTGAACAGCCCTATTGTTCGCGCAAAACTAAGTAAGTTTCTCTCATGGGATAGTAAGATACCTCATTCTCTGAATTTTGTTACTGGCTAATTCTTACTGGCATTTGCATAGCGAACAGAACTAATTTTTTATAGTTGCGTTCCAGATGCTCACGATATTCACGATTTGCAGGTTTTTTTTTGCAGGAAAGCGTTCCAGGTGCAAAACGTGAGACGGTTGATAAAGATCGTATTTGATCGTCTCCATGGCGCTTAACATTAAAAAAAAATGGAAGTAGTTACAGGAAAAGTTTTTTTTCGCGTTCCAGGTGACTTTTATTTTTTCTCTCTTGCTCCTCTCTTTCAAGAGAGTAATTTTGTTATTTGTATAACCTTGAACCATTTATGTATGTATGTAGCCGATTTCAGTGATTGAGTGCATTCCAAAACGTCAAAATACAAAGCATCAGTCTCTTTTATTTCCATACCGCATTAGAAGAAAAAGTCTACCTTGCGCAACCTAGGTGAAAACTAGCATCTAACCGTAATTGCGCATATTTGGCATTACAAGCTGCTGAGGTTTAGAAATAAAAATAAAAGAGACTGATTCTTTGCATTTTGACGTTTGGAAATGCAGCCATTCTTTTATAAAGGGAAGGTGGTACCTCAGAGGTGGTCCCGCACTAATTTGGATTACGAAAAAAACGGTAATCTTGAATTTTTATATGAGAATTGAAGTTGGCTTGGTTTTTACTTAAAAATTACTAGTTTACACATGATACAAAAAAGAAGGTAGTTTCATTTAATGACATTCGTTGTTGTTGTTAACCATTTGACTTTTAATAAAATTAAGACATTTCATCAAATTCATGCTACCTGATCACTAGAATAAATATTTTTTTTTAATTATGCCGGCTACATGATTTTGAAAATGGGGTTACGACTATGTTTCAGAACGCATGAAGAAAGTATATACTTACATATCGTCGCTTAAAGTACAAAACCGCATATTGAAATATGAGTGTTTTTACTCACTACAAAATAATTTATGCAACCTCACATACGCACCTGTGCATTTTGTTGATACACAGTTTTGTACTTTAAACGACGATCTGTTAGTTGTTTATCGGAGGGCGGTCTGTTCAAGCCGATTTCAGGTGTTTTGCATAAATTAAAAATTTGTGAAATTCAATGATGATGCGCCAATCACAAAGTCTAATTTTTTGCAAAATCTGATGAGAAATTTGAAAGTAAATTTGAACCAAAATATAAAAAGGTTTTATTTGCGAAGAACATTCTTTAGAATTCGATTTTTAAATGGCAAGATTGCATTCAAAATAAGAAAACAAAAAAATAACAGAATAATGCGTGCGTGGTTTTCATTACAAAATGAAAAGAACCATTACGATAAAGTCTCCTTTATCAGTTTACATTTTAAATATTTTTAATAAAAGGTGCGAACCACGTAAGTAAAAAAGTACCAAGCACTGATAATAGTTTTTGATTTGAAATGTTATTACATTGGTATAAATATGGGAAAGAAAATACTCCGATTTATTGTTTTAATATTATCAAAGTGGCAACGCCGTTGATAATACTCACAATTTATGAAACTTCATATAATTTTATTATCCGTCAAAAGTTGTTTATTGAAATTACCTTCTTTTTTGTATCATGAGTTTACATAACGAATACTAGTGACCCTGCAAACCAAAGTTCCCGAAATCTTAACGAAATCTTTAGGAGTATCTGATTTCTGTAACGATTTTTTTCCGAATCTTCAAAGAAAATTATATGAAGTGGTTGACACGAACTCGAAAAGAAATTTCTGTACGAAAAATAAAGAAAATTCTGAAAAAAGTCTGCAAGAAATTCTTCACATAGCAGCATTATTTTCATTTCTTTACCGATTTTCTTCCGAAATTTCGTAAAAGAATGGAAGTGTGCGTAATTTATTTCATTTTAGAAAATTCGGCAAAAAATCGGATGGGATCTTTCCGAATTCTTTAAAATTTCTTTACGATTCAGAATACTCTGAAAAAATGGTTTGCAGGGGACATGCATACATATGTTTGTATGTATTAGAGTGGTTCATAAAAACACTCTGTTTGGAAATTCATAAACGCTATATCAGAATATTGTTATTTGTGATAAATAAAGAGACGTATTTTTTTTATTTTGAAAAAAAAGTTTTCTTAGAGGTCGCGCTGGTCGGTTTTTTTATAAAAACGCTGATGTAAAACAAGCCTACAAATATGTACTACACATCGTCGTTTAATGTGCATAACCGCGTATTAACAAAATGCAAAACCGCGTATCAGGATAATGCAAAACCACGTATGTGAGGTTCCATCAAAACACTCATATTTAAAAATGGTTCTCTTTTTTATAAAGAAATCGCATTTCTGCCTAGTATATTTCAAAACGCATGATTAAGGATTAAGCCAAGAGCTTGTGTGAGCAAATCCAATTTTTGGCAGCAAATGTCAGTTACGCGGTTTTGCAGAATGACGATGCGTGGTTTTGTACTTTAAACGACGATACTTATCTATAAGCAAAAGGAATAAATTTTTAATACATTTTGCTTCTGGTTATATGGTATATACTTTTAGGCTTATTTTTTGCATAAAAATCAACTGCCTAATCATAAATAATAAAAAAATATATATGTAATCTTTATACTTTCCAATGCACTAAAATCTTATAAGTATGTTTTTGTAACTTACCAAGTTCTCACAAGGTATGTGTCTTTGTTCACCCATTTCCCCTTCCTCTTGAGCACTTACCGAAAACACAATGGTTTATTTAAAAACTAGCATATTTTAATTGCTGTCTTGACTTGTATATAGCATGTATATGTATGTAAATATGTAAGTAATTATATTAGCAATAAAACAAAAAAACAAAGTTGCTCGGTGCGGTGCGTATTTGAACGCACTGTATATTCTGATTGTGAGTCAATCTAAAGTTTTGCTGCATTCAAAATGAGCCGTTAAGGAACTTAGTAGTTACATATCTTCCATTTTGAAATTATGTCCTTCGGCTGGTGATATCGTTATGGAGTCAATGACGTGAGCTTGATGTTGAGCCTCACTCGTGCCGTCTTTTGAATGTGAGGATACGGCAGTATTCGAATTTAATTCGGACGGCGACAGTGTTGCGCCATGGTGGCTCAGCAGATGCTGTTGTTGCTCACCGCCGCCGCTCAAATGCGCTGAATGTGACTGATGAGATTGCACCTCCGACACACAGATCGCTTCGTCGCTCAGACTCGTTTGCGCTGGCGATTTTAGTGTGCTACTGCTGGAAGCTATCACTGGTGTTGTTGTTAAAGGTGAGCTGAGCGAATTTGCACCACCACTGCCGTGTTGCGACTGATTACTTTGATTCGATGGACTTTGCAGATGAAGCGTTGGTGGTGGTGGGAGTGGCGGTGATTGCATTAGCGGCGTTATCTCTAAATGCGGTTGATGTTGTTGAGATAATTGTTCGTGCGAATTCGAGTGATGCTGATGTTGCGTCAAGTGCGCCATGGTATGTGGCAGTTGGGAATGGTGACTATGGTGCATAACATTTGATGCATTCGCACTATGCAATAGATTCTGTATAATGCGGTTTGATCCTTGGCCGTTTCCTGAACTGCCAATCACATGTTGTTGGTGGTGATGGGGATGATGGTGATGATGATGATGCAAATTGATGTGACTGCTCCCGCTATCGGCAGTCGAGTTATGCGACATTAAGAGACTAGTAGCCGACTGAGAACAATGGGTGCGCCCATGCGGAGAACTCATTAAACTCGCCCCGATTGGGGGCGGAGATATAGAGCCACCTACTGAATGCAGCGGTTGTTGCTGGTGCTGGTGTTGCATCTGTTGTTGTTGCTGTTGATTTTGATGCAACTGCAGTTGTTGTGAGGGAGAATTATGCATGGAGTTATGTGGTTGATACATAGATGCACCAATGACACTGCTCACGGTCGTATGATGTAGCCGTGTTCCTGTGACAGCATTCATACCGCTTGCAGCATTATTGCCGCCGGGCAGTAGTGTGCCGGACATATTAATCGAATTTAAACTAATTGAAGGTGAGATAGAGCTTGGCACTGAGGTCGATTGCTGAACATTGGCATCGATAGAAAACCCGGCGCCACTCGTACTTCCACTCAGATTTCCTCCGGATGCGCCATTGCCAGCTCCACCGCCACCTGGTCCACTACCTCTCATATGTGGTGGATGGTTATGCACTCCTGTCGCTGATATGACGCGTCCCTGATGCGTTATGCAACGCGCTCGGCACATACTAATGCGATAGGACTTGCAGAGCCAATAAGTTTTCATGCCTTGTTGAGTAGCCACAGTGTTGTTTCGGTTAAACACGCAATTACCGTGCAACAGAGACGTGGAAGAGAGCATCACCACATTGCTGCTATCTAAGAGTAATTGTATGCGAATGTTTGTTGTATATGGATTGAAATCAGATCACATTCGGCACATCGGTAAAGTCAAAAGTCAAAGATAAAGTAAATACGTAATATGTTAATATCGTTCGGATATATTATCATATTACATAATATACGAGCGCGTATGTAAATATATACAATATACAATATATGGAGAGCTATGTATGTACATAATCGTGAAAATTTTTCGTATTAACTATGTAGTTACTATTAGAACAATTAGGTGTACAAGTATTTGTGCTGTTTAAGGTTTCAAAGTGAATTATTTACATACAGGTAGATATGTAGCAGCGATTGATTAAGCCATTTAGCGTGGACATTTTTGGAAAAATCAGTGGTGAAAGCTTGAAAGAAAAATACGAATCTGATCTAGAGTGAGACACAGATCCATACATAAAGGCAAGTGCACATACATATCTGTATGTATGTACTCTAAACGAGCATAGAATTTACTAAAATGATTGTTATACATATTTTTTATAAGCGTGTGCAAATAATTTTCAATTGCAAAATAGTCGAGGACTTATATGCCTTATTGCCAACAAAATATTATACATACATACATGTCTAAATTTACTGTGCATTGATATATAGTAACTATCGTACCTTTGCCCCAAGAGCGTCATATCCAAAAAGCATACACTCGAGAAAAACGGCTTCAAAGTTTACACTTTGAATGGTAAAAAGGAAGACGCATTTTTTTTTGTAATGAGCTATTGTTAATCAATACAGCTTTGTATTTTTCACACACAATGGAAGAAGAGATGTCATTTCTGCAAACTTTTCATTTGTCATTTCAAAAACTTTTTAATTATGGCACTCTTGCAGCAAAGGTACGATTCGTCTTCGGAAAAATAATTGAAGTGGTTGTGGCACAGTAGTTACCACCGCAAGGATGCCGTGAATTTTATGATTCAAGTTTAAGATACAAATTGAAAGAAGAAATCGCTACGCCAAATTTATATCGCTAAAAATTTCTAAATGNTGTCTTACAAAATTGGTGATTTTTTTGCATTTCAATAATTTCACCGTAAAACTTCAAAGCTCCAATAAAACTGTTATAATTATGATGCATAGTTCTCGTTCGAGCTTTTTAGGATAAACTGAAAGTTATTGGTAAAGATATTGAGGCATACTCATAGTCGAAATAAAGTCGACTCTAAATTTAATAGTAGCGTTTTTGGCAGATATTACATTCATAATTATGTCAAAAAGCTGCAACTAACTTTAGTTTCGTCTTTATTTTAACTACGTATATGCCCCATTGTTTCCAAAAATTGCAAACGTTTGCCAAACTTAACAAATATAAAATCAGATTCGAATTTTGATGAAAAACCAGACGGATCAAGAGTCACTGAAGAGTTTTCTTTGGTAATAAATTCTTAAGGTTTTCTGAACTCAAGCAGTTATCGGAAAAATTAAAATTTATTATGTATCCTGATGTGACTTCACTTGATAAACTGAACTTGTTTGATTGGCTGGAAATCGTAGATTGTGAAACGGAGCTGATTGAGTTTCAGTGCAAATATTAACTAAAAGCTTAGTCGAAACAAGGAAATAGTTAGAATCAATCGAATTAGAAAGACCATCGGCCAATATGAGCAATAATGCTAGTACTAAAATTTTGGAAACTTGGAATTCAATTCCAGATATATTAGCTGTCTGCAGAAGCTGGCGCTTGCACACAAGGTGCACAGAGACATTTAAGAGACGCTTAATTAGTTTTTTTTTTTTTTAATTTTTACACTATTTAAGAGTCAACCAATGTCTGCAAAAACGGTGATAAGTCATGATAAAACGTGGCAATAATAGCACGTGTATGTATAAAGGTTCGCCGGCCCTGTACTAGAAGTTATGTTTTCCTGGAGGCGTTGTATATTTTTAGGCACGAGCCTTATTCATTTACAGGTCTTTTCTGTCCATTACCGTTGGTTTTGTAACCCAAAAATTTTATTATCAAACAATTTTACGACTTCTGGTACCCACGATTCTAGGCACAGTTTCAGCATGTTTCCCAGTTTCTGCTATTTTTCTTTTGATTGTTTAATGTTTATTATTTTTCTATAAAATTACAGCTCATAGTGACAAAAACCATATAAGCCCAAATTTAGAACTTTGTATAAAACATACATACATAAATTCAACGCCAGTTTTCAACATTTTAGACCAACAAGCTTTTACTAAAAAATTTTTGAAAAAATCTAGGTATGCAGTTTTATAGTCCATTAAATTCTAGCCAGAAAGTGCAAATTTCAAGTGGCTAACAACTCGCGTTGATTTTTGATAAATTTCTTTTGCGGATGGTATTATTTCCTTCCATACAAGAATAATTGTCGAACATACTTTGTATGGAAGAAAATGCGTGACACGGTCAGGAAAAAAGTTATGCAAATGCATATTTAGATTTTTTATCAAAAAATTCTTAATAAAAAAATTTTTGATGTTGTAAAATAATGTTGAGTTTTTCTCTAAAAATTGAAATTTGAGAATAAACATTAAACAATCAAAAGAAGCATGTCCAAAACTGGTCAAATGCCGTGTTCTATTATTTTTCACATGACTGTACTTTAGTAATGCAGTCAAAATATTCAGCAATTTAGCTATGAATATTTGTCGAAATTCTGATATTGCATAATTCACGGGGCAATACTTTGTTACCAGCTTATGAGATGGCAACAAAATTTGCTGGTTACAGGAGTTTATGGAATGCGAAAAGTGTTAAAAAATTGGCTAGAACTTTATTTACCGGTTACAAATTTTCTTCCACGCGTTTTGCGGAAATTCTCTTCCAATTTGTTGTTTTCACCACACAAATAGAGGGCAAAAAATATTATGCCGGGCAAGGGACAATTGCTGATCTAAAAACCGTTTTCTATCAGTTGAATGTGACGTTAAACTGGTTTTGATTCTAGGTCCTATTCTTTAATCACTACAGAAAATTTTCTAGGTTGTGTGTGAACATTACACCGTATCACCATGTATAAAAAAGTTGAATTCGCTTTAAGCGATTTTGAACACTCACTAGGAGAATATTTTTGAGGAAACTTAAACTTTTTTCATCGTCACCCTGAACGGCGAAATTGGTTTTTTCTATATCTTCTTTATTTGATGTCCGATTTGTAAAACATTCAGTTATATATATAGAGCTATTATAATTAGGGCTTTCAATCCCGAGATCCCGGACACTTTTTCATGCCCTGAAATCCGGGGATTACAGCTCCACGATACCGAGATTTTTACTGAGTTATTTACATACATAGTGAATGTGATATTGTAAACGAAAAAAAATAATTCGCGTGCATTTGGCATGAAAAACAAGA